TTAGGGATCCCATTCAAAACTGGGGTCATGGTTAGGCTAACACCTACTCTATACATGGTTTAACAAAACCAGAAGACTTTACCCTTCACATTGAGCACTTCCAAGTTCAATGGTACAGGGGTCTATTTACTAATCGGATGAAGCAGAAATTCATTTGAGGTTACAATCCGGCTAAAGGACTATCAATCCACTAGAAAGAACCCTGGTGTGCCTCAAGGATCTGTGCTTGGTTCCCTGTGGCTCTAAGACTTTCCTGGCTTTTCAATCAGATTCCTGAAAACAGGGTTTGACCAAGTTTATTCCTTCCATTTCAAAATCAAATCTGAGGTCAGGAACACAGAGTAATACTCAAGCTTTGTGGTCCTGTCAATTTTTGTCTCATGTAAAGTGCTCCTCCTTCTTCCACAATTTCTACATCTACAAGGTAAATGATTTAGAGAAATAAAGCTAACCTAGATTAGGACACCAAGCTTGGTTTAAAAAGAGATCTGAAGAACAGAAGTGCCATCAGTTCTCTATCAGACAAGAATCCTTAAGGACTGTTAGTGCAAGCACATCCACAAATAGGAATAGGAGGCACTCTCTTACACAGAATTAAGGGAGTACAGCATAGAACACATTAAATTAATTGGCTTTTGCAACATTCATAGTTAAAACTTGAGGAAAAGCCAAGTCTTGAGGAAGACTATTTGTAGCCATCCAGCCTAAAACAGACATTAACAGTGGTTATAATTTACAATTACACTTCTGTAACAAGGTTTCAATGATGGTTTGTATTCTGGTAACCAAAACGTTTATCATGTGCTAGTTTTGTAAATTGTCAACCAAGAGGCATCTGGATAGGAAGCCCTCTCCCAGGAAAACTCATCATGAACAGAAATGGAGCACAGGCGTCAAACTCAGCTTTGGAACACTTTTATAAAACCAGATTCAAATTACACAGCCTGTAGCATTACTGCCATTTCCTGTCCAAAAAGTCAATGGGTTCTGTAGAGCTAAAGGTCCCAAACCCATATTAGGTTTTGGAACAGCCTGGATCACAAAAAAATAAATAAGAACTGCTTAATCACCACACTATGGCTTGCCAAATTGCAGTGTGCAGTTTCAGTCTCTCAGCATTCCTTACTAGAACTTTAAGAGGCCTCAAAAGAGCAATTTGAACCATCTGCTTTTTTTCCCCTTCATTTAATTTCTCACTCACAGCTAAAACCTTGTGTGCTAGCCGGATTTCTCCTTTCTCCGTTTTATGTGCCATGATAACTGGCTATGACCCGAAACCTTTCAAAAACGAATTGCTGTAATGTGCGCCTGTTTAATGGAGACTGTCGGAGTGAAAACGCCTACTGAAGAGGCAGTCTGTACGCCTCCCCATCATGTTTCAATGGCAAGAATCCTCAAGAGCTGTGTGACGTTTTAGAACACACACCAATGGCAAATAACCAAGGCAGAAATTAAAGTGCTAGGACTTAAAAAAAAACACAAAACCCTTAATTCTCTCAGCGAAAGGTACAGGCAAACCAAGATGAGTACCAAGTGCCGAGGCTGAAAGTTAAATGGACATCAATAAAGATCTGGCATTTGCCTGCACATTATATTTACTTTTGAGGTCTTTCAAAATGTAGACATCCACCGATAGGCACTAGATATACCCAGTTTCTGTTCTGCAGACAGAACATTGCAGATCAGTTAGGTGGGGCTCTGTTGTGGCTTTGCATTTTAAAATGCTAAGAGGGAGGGATGTGTCTGTATATCAGGGAAGGGGGCGGGTGACACTACATTTGACTTACATGGTTGGCAGCACTTCCCCTGCCTCATTGTGATCCCCAGCACTTAAATTTCACTGCACCTTTAAGTGCAGCTCAAAACTAATGGCCCAACACCATTGTAGTCTAACTGTGAAGCTAAGAACTAAGTAGGCAGCCCTACTGAAAGTGGCACTATCCTCCACAAAAGTCTTCAAATCAATATCGCAGTATTGCGACCAGGGCTCCTTTGGAATAAAAAGCATTAGCTATATAAATGCAATGAAAACACAGCTGAATGCAGTCAGCAGTATGGTGGGTTGCCTACCAAACAAGGAATATTAATTTAAATATCCAGAAATCTGAAACAAGATCAAATAACACCTGCTTTAGACTTTGCCTCAATGAAACCTGTTAATTGAATCTAAATCACAAATCAAACATGGATCACTATTTGGCCCTATACCTATAAAACTCCACAACTGGAATAAGTAAACATTAAAGGGCAAATGGTTAGCATGTGAAAAACGCAACAACCCTTCTATATTAGGTTAACTTGAAATCCTGCTACATGGTTTATGCTGGTACACAGTAACTATGGTCAAGTGCCTAGTTTTGACATCCAACTTATAGTTGGCATCACACTGCACCTGGTTTGCACGGTCTCAGTAAGAAATTTGCTGAAAGTCATGATCTGGGATCCATTTCGCTACTCCATGGGCCAGAGAAAAGACAATACGGTCTCTTAGTAGCTAAGGTAACGACTGGAGCTCCCAATCAAACTTAGGTATATTTGCATTTCTTGTAGTACTAACCCTTAGGGTGAATCATATATTAAAACTTTTGATCTGACCACTATATTGCATATAAACTGCAGAAAATGGGATTAGTTATACAAACTGGACTGCCACTCCAGTAGTAGACCTCTACGTTACTACAATTTAGGTTTACAGTGCCGTGGAGATGCCCAGCACAGCATTAATCATTTCAAGGAATACTAGTCTTCTAACTCAGTATTTCTATGTTTAGCCTTGAAATGGTACAGATGCAATGCATTAGTAGATGGATGCAGTGCTTCACAGTGGGGCAGTTGTAGCCCCACTTCTACAAGACTTGAGCTTCAACCAATGTACTTATAATTACAAGTTCACCTCCGAAACATTCAAGATAAAAAGGGAAAGCAGGTTATGGTTGCTCATTAGCAAAGAACAGTCAATCGAGTTAAATACTTCTCCTGATGTTTACACTGTGACCTAATAAGACTGCAAAATGCTTAAATCTTTATTTATGGTGCACACCCCTGGCATTACATTTTGAAATCTGGATTTTACCAAGAGTCCCTTATCAATTTGCGTGGGGACAATGCAGTTTATTCTGTGCAGTTAAATAAAAAAAACCATGTAAGTTGCAATTTTCAGTGCTTCACATCTGTTACATAAATGTAAAAGAGGTAGTGAACTCTAGCTCTAAAGAATCTCCTGTCCACAGTGCTAGAGCGAAATGGTGTGAAACCAGCCCATGTGTGAAGGCTTGTTAAGCGTTTCCCAGTATACGCTGCGCCAACCCCACCTTTGAGAACTGCTGTCTTTTGCTCATAAATCATCCCTAAGGTACTGTAGAACGTAAAAAGTCTTTAATAGAAACCACGTGAAGGCCTTTTAAAAAAAGTGGGAGGGACCCCTTTGGATTGCATAATTTGAATTGACTTAATTTCGGTTTTTCACTTTATGGAACGTGTTCCTAATTTACCACATTTAATCAAATATCCTCCTATCCATATATCATCCAAGGCTCAAGCCAGGTTATTAAATAGCTGTGCCTTCCATTTCTTGGCGCTTGCCTGTAAAGAATTCCAACAGTAAACTGAGACCCTTCCAAGTCCTGCGGTCTACCCACTTTTCCCCTCCTTCAAAACTAGGAATGGTTAGCAATCCTGGGCTCAGCCGCACACATGGAAAGTAAATTTGCAAGTTGATTTTCTCAATACTGAGTTGGAAGGTTGCCAGCCAACCCCAGCCACATTAGTACCGCACAGCTTAATGAGAGACCAGTCAAGCAATGTACCAGTACAGTACACACTTCAGGCTATTTGCAAACATACCTGGAGCTCCAAATCAATAGGCCTTCCCTTGTACACATGAAAGACTAGGGCGCACTAATAAAGGTTTCTGGACACATTCGAAATCAGAAACTAAAGAAGCTACCAGACTACAAAAACGACAGGATTTATTGTCGCCCAGACAACTATAAACTCTGTAAACTCTGTCAACAAACTGCAGAAGCGGGTGCATATCCACTCCCTAAAACGCAGATGTTGAAGGGGTGCAGTCGCCTGCACTCAACTCAAGTGGCAGGGGCGACTACTTGCAAAAGTAAAAGTAAAAAAAAAAAATCTCAAGTGTTCGGTGCGCGAGTAAAGTTATAGGCGCACTGCGTGATACAACTTGCATCCAAGATGTCAGGTTTTTAAACCTCTTCCGCAGTAAAAAAAATAAGTCTTGAAGTTCAAAGGCACAGCCTATTCTCGCGAAATGCGGTTGACAAGTTGCATATCCCTTTCACAATGTTACCCCCTCCCCCTTTTCTTCCAGTTACCCTCACCGTAGTTCAACAATGCTCCCTGTAATCTTTGCAAGCACGCACTCACAGAAAACATGCCCCTTCTCGCGCTCCAGCGGACAGATCAAGTTCAGCCTTGTCTCGGAGCTCACAGCTCCAGCATTTTGAAACAAGTAAAATACCGTTACGTGGAAAATATTAGACTATGCGCCGGCAAACCTTTGTGCGTATAGTAGTAGCTAGCAAAAAGATGTCGAAAGAAAAGAAACACGTTCAGCAATGAATGAGCTTTTCTGCAACAACTCAAACGTGCCACTTTTGTCCTCCCAAAACGCCCTTCTAATGTTACTTAGCCTATATGTTTGAGAAAAGTTCAAAAACGTCCTTAATAACAACATAATACTGAACAAACCCATTTTTTTTAGCTGGAAACCAAAAGTATTTCGAGCTATTTTGCTTGTACGTTTAGACAAAAGGGTTAAGCTTAACAATTGCTATAAAGTTACGTGTTCCAAAAAAAAAGGGTCACGATAGAAGTCTGGCATTGTTGCAGCAACCGGACACTTTCTCCGTTTTTGAGAAAAGCTTTCAACGACAAAAAGAAAAAAAAAAACACTCCACTCATTTTAATATAAACAGACACGCACACTACTACACACGTATAGTCATTCACTCATTAAAACAGAAAAGCAGACCTACCAATAGACACCAGCTTGATATTCTCTTTATCCAAGAACTCCAGCGCCACGGACACGTTTTCCAGCTGCATTTGCCTGAACGTGGGGCGTTGGTTGTACTTTCGGAACATCTTCTTCTGACTCAGGACCTCCAGCAAACCGATCAAACGGAGACCGTCGCTCAGGTCGGTTTGGAGGTTGGCGATGCGCTTGTTCACGCACTTGAGGTGTTCGTTGCACCACCTGGTGAAGGTGTTCTGCTGGATCTTCTTCCATGGCGCGTCTTCGGCCAGGTCTTTTTCCGTAGCGGGCATGTCTGCGTCCTTGTCGGCGAGGGCTGCGTTCGAGACGGCGGCGGAGCTCGGAGCGCTAGACTGATTGAGTCGTGGGTGTGGACTGCTCATTTTTAATGCCTCTTTTTTGGGTGGGGTCAGTTCCACTTCCTCGGAGCTTCTCTAGGGTGGTTCTAATCAACGAAAGTGAGAGGAAAAAAAAGTTTGTGTTAAAGAGCTGCAAAAGGGAGCATTCTTATATTGTTGCTCAGAGGGGGGGGAGTTTTTTAAAAAAAAAGATTCAGGAGAGGCGAATTTGAATAGGAATTGAACTGAGAGGGGGAGTGTGTTTTCAGTCAGTGACATTCTTCACGGGCTGGGAATTATTGGGTTCTAACAAGCTTTGCGGTTTTTGTCTATTGTAGCGAAGCCTAAAACATGAATATTGATGTTTCTATATTAATGTTGGTTCTATTCTAAAAATCAACAGCTAAATAAGAGGCATGTAAACCTTTGTGATTTCTTAACTTGAATGCCATTTCGAGACAGAAAATCAGCTTATTGTATTGTGATTCAAAGGTCAGACAGTTTGCATCACATTTCAATGAATTCACAGATTAACGGTCTCAAATGGCCTTTGAAATAGCTCTTTGGACACGTATATAATTACACTCAACTGAAATGCATGAAAGGCTTAATTTTTTGGTTGCAATAAAAAATGTTCAAATAATACTGTTTTGAGATGCAAAGACAAATAATAGGTCTAACAAATCCTCTCTCAGGTTAGCACAGTACGCATCATAGGTTTATCATCTTTGTAATCTATTTTTGTGTTTACTGTTTCCAGCCCATATGTGGTTTGATTTACAGAGTTAGTTTTTTTAAGATAAGAGATCATAATCCTGCTCCAGGAAAGGTGATAATTTTGTTTATTAGTAATAAAAGCAGGAAAAGATAAGCAAATAAAGAAAATGTCTGTTGCCAGAGTAAATACTACAGCAGACTCCAACTGGGTGTTCCGTGAACTTGAACTGGGTGGTGTATTCACTTCTAGGGCAGGAATGGCCAGTTCTGGCGCTGGAGAACCAATATTCAGCAAGTTTTTATAGGTCAACTTTAAATCATCAATCTGAAAAGACACGGGTGGGTTTGATTTATTTAGTAAGTTAACTGATTTGATTAAGCAGGAATGGAAAACTTGTGCTTAATAACTACAGGGTTTTGGAATGTGGGCTTCAAATAATTTCTTTAGAAATCAATTATTTAAAGATGACCCATAAAACCTCCTGGATTGTGGCTCTCCTGGACCACGTATGGCCATCCCTGTGCTAAGATAGCTCAAAGTTGAATAAGATTTCCATGTTGAATTGTCTATAATACAAGCACCAATCATATATTAAAACAGACTAGGTTACAAAAACATGAAAACTAAACCAAGCACCCTCAAACCGGGGCTCCCAGAGACATTTACCTTATTACTCCCCACCCCTGAGACACATGGAACCACAATGCAACTTCATGTCAATCCCTGGGGATATCACAATGCAACTTCATAGAACCACTGGTGATGGTGTTATTCTATTAACATTGATTCATGGCTGTCAGACAAGCATGAAATCACTTCATGGTATCTCCATAGCTAGTGATGGGATTGAACCTGCTCTTTCTGAAAATGATTCGATTTCAAGTTGTAAAGCATCTGTAAATTAATGACCATTGATAAAGCCAAGCTAAAACTGAACAGCACTGTTATAGGGGTAAGGTGCCAGTATAATTTTGGTACTGTTAAGAGCCCGCTGAAACACAACAGAATACTGTAGTTACAAGAGATTTTCAAAACACTTTGTTTAAGAGGATCAATGCCTTACCTTTTTGAAAGTTATTATGTATACGAGTCACATTTCTATCCACATTAACATAAAGAGGGTCATTGAAGTGCTTTATATATGCCATAGTTGTATAAAGCTTAGCACTCCATTGAGCAGAGTCATCTTATGCCGCAGATCAAATTTAAATGTTAATAAAAGAAAACTTTAGTGTAATGGCTTGACCATACATATGTAAAATAGTCATAATCATTAATTGTATTTATATAGCACTTTGTGACCCAAACAGTTGTGTTAATGGGGGTTGGGGGGACTCACTGCTGTATAACACATACCTGGGTGACACACGGTTGGCCTCTTATGCACCAGCAGCCCAGTGACACAGCAGGTCATGTAGAGGGGTGAGAAATTGCTTCACTAATTGAGAAAGGGGAAATTTAGAGGATGCCCAGTTGTGCAAGTCAGAACACCAGGGTTATCACCCATACTGTTTCAAGACATGACAGGGCATCTTTCATCATAAACTAGTCAGGATCTTGGTTCAACATCTTATCTGCAGGACAGCATCTCCTATACAGCCCTGTGCCTTCTGTCACCATATCGGGCCATTGGTTTGGAAATTCAGACCAAGTGAAAAGAGGGCCACTTACTGATCTTCCAATGCCACGAGACAATGAATTAACTTCCTTTTGAACTCAAACATAGTTGGGAGAAATTAGTTGGGAGAACAGACGCAGCGACAGTGAGCATCAGCTCATAAACATTGAAAAAAATCCTGTAAATGTAGTCGGATTATGAGCCATTTTATGGTAATTCAATTCATTTTGTCCATCGGTATGCCATACAAAATGTATAAAGTGGTTTCTCACAGAACCTTCTGCTTTTTGTACATTATCGTGCAGTTAATTGTTATCTTGTCAGTCTGGCATTAATCATCAATAAGCAACATAAAGTCAACTTGTTTCATAATTTCAGTAATGCACACCTGAATTACAGTAGCTGTTGCAAATGACAGGTGAAGCAGATGACTAATTGTTAGGTCTAATACCCTATAGCAACACACACCTGGGTGTCTTTGAATTAGAATACAGTACATATTGCAGTCATAGACAATCTGACTGTGATATTGATGTTTTTGGAGAAGTCCCATTAGTGGTCTTTAGCATTTTGAGATCTTACATTTTACAGCATGAAATGTGGTGGAGAATGTTTTCAACAATGATGAAGATAAGACTGGGTATTACAGAATGCATTTGAAATCTCAGGTGTAATATGCTACATGATTTTAAAAAAATCAAATACACTAGATACTTTTGTATTTTATATATACCAAACACATATTTGAAAACAAATTAGTTAATTTCTTTTAAATGAATTATCTTAAATATAGTTCTCTTATAATCCTACTGTTTTCCCACTTTTGTATTTTAGAACTCACTTTCTTAGCTTATCATGGCATTTAATCTGAAACAGGAAAGCAGAATCAAAATCACATCAGTCTAGGATTTGCTATTCTTACATGGGCCTCTGTACTGCTTTCCACAACTCTGCTATTAACCATTGAAAGTTTAAGCAGAAAGGTAAAATGACAGACTATTTTTAAAAGTAATAAATAACACTATCATTTGAAGAGCGACCTGGAGAATCAGTTTTACATTATGTAAACTACAGCGGTTTTTAATCATGATGAGCGTGTTTAGCACGGCAGGACCCTGCTGTCAGGACAGCTTAACTCAGACAATAGTAAAGAAACATTATTGTAATTTTCCCCTGGACTGGATACCACTGTCTGTATGAGTCGTTTGGCTCCGATTCATTTCCTGTTTTTTTTTTACTTCACTTTGCTTTATCAGCCTGAAATTCTCATCTCCATACCCCAGGCTACGGAAGATTTATAGACATGTTATATTATGTCTCAGTTCTAATTGCCCCAAGGGCTAGTAACCTCCTTCCAAGTCTTTTTTGCTGTAAGCTAGCTGTATGTTCTGGACTCTCTCCCAGTCATATAGTTTTAATTACCAGGCCAGTCCACCTCCCAAAATATCAACCATTACCAAGCACAGGCTTTCACTCTCCGGTCCAGACATTCAGGTATAACCGTAAGCCAGTACTGTCTCCCTTACAGTCCCTCAGCTCTAGCCACCAACCTACAATACCTTCCTCTGTCTCTTCCTAGCACTATACTGTATAAGCTCAAACCACTACTCAGCACAGCCTACGTTTTTCCCAGGCCTTGACTCCTGACCACTGCCCCACACTGCCTGCAACACCTCCCTCTGTCTCAGTCCCTTTAGATCTAACTGTTACCCCACAGTGCCTCTCTGTCTGGTCTAAGTGTTAGCCTGGACACTCACACCTCTTTACCTGCCTCTCAGGTCTACTTATATCTTTTTCCAAGCTCTTGCACACATGATCTCCCAAGAATCTAAGCTCAAACCAGTAACCCTCTCTTCCTCTCATATTTGTTTTCTAGGGGATACAAAAAGCAAAGCTTTGCTTCTTAATGCTGTTATCTACACAGTAGGGAGTGTGCTAGATGCACTAAATTGCTGTATGAGGATATTTAGGATCCGGCTTTATCCTCCCTAGTGACATGATCTCATACGCTTTCCTAATGCCCCTTAGTCACCCATGACTCGCTGTGTTTCAACGCAGACAGCGGATTACCAGTCACCACGCCTTTATTAGACAACACACCAAGCTCTGCGTCTCATTTTTTTACAAGCTAGACGCTACAACAAGGACCGTAATATCACCTTCCAAAACTTAAAGGAGAAGCATGGATCATGTGCTAGAAACAATTAATTTCCTATTTCTGTGCTTTTCACATTCACTGTTCTCTTTGCTGTTTCTGATTATAATATCGCTTGTCATGCTAAGCACTGACAGTTAGGAAAGTTGCAATACAGAAGTGTTAAAAATGGTACATTTGACTCTCCAGGAATCATTGAAGATGGTTAAAGAGTATGAACAACATGAGACATGAAATATGGAGCTGATGTTGTAAGAATTAATATTCCAAGGCATCTCATAAGATCAAACTTTCAGAGTCTTTGTGCTTAGTACTGGCAAAGAGAGAACTTCACTGTGAAAAGGGGGACAGGGGCAGGTTGAAAGTTAGTATAATGCAAATATATTTTATACACTATTCTAATATATTTTTGAATATGTATATGCTTTTGATATGAATGAACTGCAGGGCAGCAGGGTGGTGCACAAATTAATATTGCTGCTTTGCAGTACTGGGGCTCAGCGTTGAATTCCAGAGGCGCTATCTGCAAGGAGCTGGTATGTTCCTCCTGTGTTCACGTGCCCAAAGACTTACTGGTAGGCTAATTGGCTTCTGGGAAAATTAGACCTAGTGTTTG